CCGAGATCGCTGGATGCAGTATGGTGCGCGGGCAGAAAGTGGGTCTCGTTGGGTCTCGAAGGTCGTGGGAGCTCACCCTCCAATGGTTCTCCAACACTCCAACAAGTACCGTTTTATTTTTTAAACACCTTGCCACCACTTGTGAGGAAGCTTTCGAACCTGGGTGCAGCTTCAGCAGTTTGATGGTGTTGAAGACCTTTGGAACAAGAGGTGGACAGTTCTTTTTTTTTGTGATCGACACATTTGCACAGCTGTTTGCACAGCTGGCTACATTGCCCGAGCGCAACCTGAGAGACAACTTCTTGGACCACAGTTGAGGGGAAACAGCTTCGTTAAACCATTTGAAACCATGATGGTTTTTGGTGTTCACCGGCGGGTGATGGTGTCCAGCATGATCCACGACCTCACTGACAAACGGTTGCTTTTGGGAGCGATGAAGAGAGATCCTGAACAACCTCAGAAATCCACAGCTGCTACTAGACTCCAGACATCTCCAGACATCTCCAGACATCTCCAGACCTTCATCTAAATCTAGGTAAAATCCTGGATGAACTCCACATCTGCCGACATCTGCGAGATTCAGCTGACTGAAGACACTCCACGGTATGTCCTTTATGCGGCCACTTTCCAGTCACTTTCCTTCCCTTCGCCACTGCGCAGGTCCTGCAGTGATCCGAGGTGTCTTGAGGCGCGGTCGACGGTGGACGTCGACTTCTCTTTCTACTAGCTTCTTTGTTACTACTAATAAGGCACTTGTTACTACTGTAGGCACTTGTTACTACTAGCTTCTTTGTTACTTTTGTTACTAGTAAGAATGCCACGTTCGTAGTGAGGCCAGCCCCGTTCGTAGCTTCCTTGTTCCGTCCGTTTCTCTCAGATCTCAGATTCAAGAGCATACAAAACTCCCGCCGTTAGAGGTACGTATAGTCGACCTAGGGTGGTCTATAGTGGGCTTAGCCTACGCCCTCAAAGGAACTTTCCCTTCCAACCAATGGCCTTTCATGGACATGCCTTTCCGTTGCGATGCACTCAAGACTCAAGACAAATATATAAGTTATTTTCTTGCTTTCATGAGGCGGTTAATACTTCTTACTCCTTCTTCCCTTTGCTGTTGTTCGGCCATTTCACTCTTGTCTCCGTTTTGAGGGCGCCTGCATTGGTGGGGGTTGCAGGCAGGGACCTTCAATCAATCAAGGATTGAGGACTCCCTGACCATTGTCCTTCATTTGTTGAGAAGAACCGGGGGCCTGCCCTTGTTCAGAAGTTCATCGCACATGTTGCAACAGCCAACAGCACCACCTCATGTTGGCTTTCCCTAGTTGTCTTCAGCTGACTTCGGCTGATGGGCCATCCCCACCTTTTCCTGCATGCGAGCGGTGGACACAGGGATAGAGACATGCACTGATTGATGTGCAAGTCAATGCAATTCTCTTGCCAGAGGCACTTGGATATCGCGCATGTGAGCGTCTTCTCCCTTGGCCTGGGCTCTTGCATCTTCTACAAGGCCAAAAAGCAGAGACAGTCATACGTGTTCTACAGCCTTGTCATAGTTCTGTAGGCCAGGCTCAGAAGCGGCCACGGAGGATCACAACCACAGTAAATCATCCGAATTCGAATCGTTTCACCAGACGAAGTACTTGCGTCGTCCAATAAGTGGTTGTATACCGCGTGGGGCACCCAAGTAGCCCCCATGAATGCGTGGGCTGCGAAGGATCCCCTTTGTCTATGGTTCGGTCAGATCCGACGGCGCTCGGCCGGTGAACCTCACCGGCGGTTCTGTGGCTTGAGGGCCAGGGGGATGCTCAACCCTACAGAGGGATGTAGCACGGGAAAGAGCACCCGTTAGCCCCTGGTCAAACGTATTGTTTTTGGGTGGGCAAGACCTACGGAACCAATCCGTGTATATAAAACTGTAAACATAGTTACATACTAATCATCAGGTACGTTAGTTATATATATATTATATTATATAACATTATATTATATTATATAATAATAGTTAATAGTTAATATCTGTATGTGACAAAGAGTCCCCGACGGGGGATCGTTGGGTTCGTTTGGCTTGCTCTTGACCTTGCCGAGTAGTTCTCAACGGCTTGACCAGCGGCGTTTTCACCATTGAGTCTGAACTGTCAGTTCCTCACATGTCGTCAACGCTATTCTGGTTAATTATAAGCAAACATATCTGATTCATGGTGGTTCATTTTTTCAAAAAAAAACAGATTGCCCTATCCTGAGTCGTCTTCGAATAAACACCTATATAGGGCATTAGGGCACCCAGGTCTCGCCTTTGACGCCGACGCCGGGTGTTTACCGCATCTCGCCGCATCTCGCTCAGCTGGTGGCGGAGACGCCTCACATCTTAAGTCCCACGCATATCGTCTACAACCAGGAGCGGACGAATAGCTTTTTGTTACTACTAGTAACAAGTGCCACGCTAGTAGTAACAGGTGCATCGCTAGTAGTAACAGGTGCCTTACTAGTACTAACAAGAAGCTATTGAGCGTCGTTTCGGTCGTTCGTGCGCTGCTGGGGGCGGACCGAGAGTCTTCTTCGAAGTCGGTTTCGAAGAGTTCGACTGGGATCCAAAGGCGTGTTCGGCGTTCTTTATTGATTTTCCGGGTGTGAACAACGTGGATGACGGATTCCACAAGTGATTTCTATGTGTCTTTTGCCTTTCCCTTTGGAAAGTATATAAACTAGTGGCCTTTGCAAGTCTAGTGGTTGGGGTTAGGAATTATACAGGTTTGTTGTAACGTAATATTTGGTCAAGCATGCAATCCAGCCTGTGAAATGTCAAGTTGTCACCACACTGATATACTTTTGAGTTTCCCTAACAATCTAGGAACCAAATCATTAGTGCGAGCGTGAGCTATCCTTTGTCGTACCTAGAAGCTAACTTAGCCTACTAGCTTACTCCCTCACTTAGTTACAGTAAGTAGGTAGTCTCTACTTAATGAAGTATCGATGGGGGTGTAGCGGGCCAAAAACAGAATCATGCAGGACATGGCTGATCTGAAGTTTGTGCCCTTCGAGCCATTTGATGTGGAGGCGACACAAGCGCAAGTGCTGAGTGCTGATGGAATCCAACAAAAGAACGGCTAACAGAGCCACGCACGGCTAGAGTTTGTGTGCGCTGCTGAAGCATCTCAAACAACAGGTGCGGGTTCAAGATGAAAGTATGAATTTGTGGACCCATCGAATCATCACTAACAGACGTACAGGGCTGGCAAGAGGAATAGCTTTGATACAGCAGGTAGGTGGCAACGAGGAGATTTGGATCTCTTTTGTATATCCCCTTAGCTCAGACAGATGACGCCGATAGCCATTGATCTGATGGACTTCCTTCACTTCTTCAGCCGTTGTCAGGTGGCCTTGAGGGACAACGATATCCAAGTTTGGATGATGCTTGGAGCCACTGATGGAGGGAACTTGGAGGTTCTTGGAGGAAGAGAGCAATTCTGTGGAGCTTTGATGGCGAGAAAGATCGAGAAAGGAAGTCTCCTGTAGATGGTTGATGCAAAAAGATTGACGAATGCTTTTGCTTTTTGTTCTTTTTGATTTGACGAGTAACCCAATACTCATCATCCGTGGAGTGGGCAGGGGCCATTATGAGACAAGCACTCAGCAGAGCAGTTTGTTACTGTCAACGTAAGAACGGGCTCAAGTTTGGGGGGTCATTCATTTGCCTTCCAGAAAATGCTTGATCATGATCATGCTATTGGTGGTTGACATTGGAAGCTGGGTCCTTGCATCTTCTTTGGTTCGCTTTCCCCTTTCAATCCTCGGTTTGCTTCTCTCCCTCATGCCAGATTGGCACGTCATTATACACAAAATATTCTACAGTACTTACACGCTCACTTCGTGTATTGACATGGAGGCAGCGTCCTTCTCACCGGTCAAAAGCAGAGCCGCTCAGACTCTCTGTGGCTCAGATACAATGACGAGGATGACACGGAGGATCCTTTTGCCTATAATCGGCACAACAAGGCCGATGTCCATGATCAAGGATGGACGACCAAGGGATGAAGTTGGATCTGTTTCAGACAACTCGAGGGGCTGTCCCATTTGGATGTCCCGTTCGATCACGTTTCTCATGTTCGACGAAGGCTTTCTTCATCCAGAGCCTTTTGTGAGTTTTTTTACATGTCATGTTATAATCTGGAGGTGCCAACCATTTTCAATTCGCAACGTAATTCGTGAAAGATATTGAAAGATCCAGCTTTTGGAACGGGGGGGCATGAATGACTGGTTCAGCAAAATGGTCACTGATCACGTTGGCAGGGCCCCTCGCGAATGGCGGAGAGCTTCTTGAAGATGCAGGCAGAGACCTTCAAGAGGGCTGTCAGGGTGTGACTTTGTGGAGGTTGTCACAGGTTGTCCCAACAGGTGGAGCACTATCAGTTCGCACAGATTTGCCTGTCAACTATAGCTCTCCTTGCGAAAGGGGGACTTGCAAGCGTTCATGAACAGCGCCCATCAAGGGACCTTCCTTTAGGTGGCGCCCAGCAGGGAGGCTAGCAGCTAGCAAGAGAGGGACCCTCAAACTCCCGGTGAGGAACCTGGGGCTCCTGGCCTTACCACTAGTGGCAAGAAGCTACGTTCGGGGCTCTTGGCATCGCTACGAACGGAGCAAGGACGCTACGAACGGGGCTCCTGGCCTTACTACTAGGAGCACGAAGCTACTAGGAACAAACTAAAAAAAACCCACCAGTGGGGCAAAGGATCATGTGCCCAGCAGGTGCCCACTGAGCCGCGCTGGCAAAGCTGCTCTTGTTCTCGGGTTCCCCCAAAGCTGTGCTCTGACCAAAAAGCTTGCTCAAGCCGCACATGAAATAGGGCAGATAAGCAGCACACTGCTAGGGACAGGTCGCAGGTGATGGCTTTGAAGTTCCCTTCACGACCAGCAGAACGACCAGCAGGTTTGTAATTAATAGAGGTCTTTAAGCAATAGGCAGTTTTTCAGTGTATGCACAGTCTTGAACGGAGATCCTTTTGTAGCCTCTTGTTTGTTCGGTTACTATCTATAGGCAGAGCTATGGAAGCAGCTGACGTTGATATCGGCTGCCATTTGGCTGGACTTCACCTCTCAAGCTGCATCTTGCATCTTGGTATATAATCTATTTCAAGGCACACTTTTTGCGTGGAGGGAGGGGTGTGTTTTAGGTTTTTAGTTTCAGCCATGTTTCTCTTGAACCACTTTTGATGTTGGCTGGTAAGATTCTGGATGAGATTGTTTCAGCGGTGTGAATTGAGGGTCCGGGAGATCTTGACACTGCAAGCCACTTTATCCGGTCATTAGGTTGTGGTGCTTGGTGCTTGGACATCACCTCCCGTAGCCCTGCTGTCCAAACACCGCTGGTGCCCCCAGGAACGCCAGTGGCCCCCGCACCAACACGGAGCAGCAGCTACTGGAGATTGCGAGAAGCTCTGCTGGTGCCGTTTGCTCCAAGAGTGTCTCGGGTTGTGCTTGGTTGCTATGGTTTGGGTTTTCTCCGGACTCCGCAGATTGCTCCTCAAGAAAAGGTGTCCATTCGATAGGTTTCTCAGAATCGAAAATAACGCTGGGCAGTCAGAACGTTTGAGACAGTTGTAGAACAAAGTATGGGAACTCACCATCGAAGTGCTCGATGCAAAGCTGGTTTTACTGTCGTTCATGGAGCCCTACGGGCCCCGCGGCTGGCAGTTCTTCTTTTAACTCCTTGGCCACATGATTGCTTTCGGGGCCGGACTGAACACATGGATTTTGGTGGTGTGTGTAGATGAACTGAATGACATACCCATGGACGCGCATCAGATCATAATCATGAACGCTTCTCTTAGCTGTTGAATGATTTTGCCAATCTCAAAGAACATGACTAAGAAAAGGAGCGCCCCTGCATGAGGCCATGATGGAGCTCGTAGGAATTGAACATCATTTGGGTAAACTCTTGACATCATTTGGGTAAACTCTTGTGAGGATGAAGGAAGCCCCAACAACTGGGTCCCAGTGATGCTTCCCTCCAGGGAGAGATGTCGCAGCCAGCGCGAATTTATGTTCACTGGTCTTGCATCTTGCAGCCTTGGGTTTTGTTCTCGACATGAAGCAGTGTGTGGAAACATGGCGAATCTGACCTGACGCTGCAACACCCTCAACCGGGGCCTTTTTCACTGCTTTGGGGACGTCCGTTTTCCACCGCCAAACCCCCGTCAACGACGTGAAAACAGGTGACGTCGTTTGAGCGACGAAAAGGAGCGACGGCGCCGCTCGGCCGCTCGACGCCGGAGACAGGTGCCACGTTGGAGGAGCGAAGTGGAAATGATCAGCCGCGCTACACTGAGATCCAGTTGGGGGACAGGAGATTCGGAGGGCCGGGCGCCGTGATATGTAAAATTATGTGTCCGATCATCTGGAGGATCGGATAGAGATGATCCCTTTTTGTTGGGGATCCCACATGGGGTTGAAGGAAGGATGTGATTGTTTGGTGATATGATCTTTCAATTCTATGTTGGCTCGCATATTTTTTACTTTTTCTGCTGTTCTGTTTGTCAATTTCCCAGCCACGCTGCTGCAAGAGCTGCTTCACCGGCTAAACTAGTTTGCATCCTCAACATCCTCACAGCGATCCAGGCAGGGACCCTTCCAGCGCATAGATCAGCCCTTTGGAGAAGACTAGTAGCTAAATTGATCATCGAGCTTGTCCTCCTTTTCTTGGGAAGCATCTAACGGGCTACCTAAGGAAGCAGTTTTACATTTAGGGCAACTCCTTTCTGGAAGTGTTGAGATGACCTGCCACAGTCGGTGTTATGGGAGTGTTGTTCGATCGATCTCCGTTTCCCGTAGCAGCTCGGAGGACCTCCAGCATCAACTCGGAGGGCCTGCCGAACAAGGGCTTTGCCGCCTACACCGAGGCCTCCTTGCTGCGGAGGCCCGGAACGCCGACTGCGGATGGGAGAGGCGAACTGTGGGGGACGAAAAGAGGCCATTGGAATAATACTCCTTCATTCCAAATCCACACGTCATGCGTTTGCGTGGCTCGAGATGTTGGGAACTGTTGAGACATCTTCGGAACAGTCCGTAAAATGCTGAGAACTCCGAACTCCCGGGCTGCATCAAAGCTCTCGCCGTCTTCGTACCCTTGATGGTGTGGTACCAAAGATTGAGTTCTGATGTCTTTTCTGACAGGTCCCCAAGACTCTTCGCGACACTTTTACCCACCGAAGAAGACATGGGTCCAGGCAGCAGGCTCTTGTTAGTGAATCTACTGTAGGTTTCTGAACACGTTTTGTTGAAGACTGTAGACTTCCATCTGTGGAAGGACGGGTGCATGGATGTTCTGACACGGAGACCGGACTGCAGGCTGCGGGAGTCTGCGGAGCCGGCGGGGAAGCCCTACATCTTGTCAATCTCTGGCTTGTCCCTTCAGGTGGGACAACTCTGAGAAGACTGGGCAGCTGAAGGAATCGGGAGCTTAATTTCTTCAGGAGATCTCTCAGAAGTCAAGAGGCTTCAGGATCCTGCAGAGCTTGGAAAGGGGGTGATGTGTAGGGGATTGAAGGGTTGCGAGGTTTGAGCATGGAGTTGCAAAGGACCAAAGCCACGGGTTCAGGAGAATTTGCGCATGCTGGACCTGCTGCTAGAGTCAGGCTCGGTGGAGCATTTGAATCTTGGCCGAAAAAGCGCGAACTGCCTTTTCTTCCATTACCAGAGAGAGTGAATGCTTCGTTCTTAATTGAGACATGTTGAGACAACGAGTCTTGGAATGTCTGAGAAAGAAATCACAAGGGCCCAAGGGTCCAGAGGTGCGACACTAGGTGCGACATCGGTTGTTGGAACCAACGGTTGGTTCCAAACCATTCTGAGACTCCAAGCATCGAACTCGTCACTACAGGTAAGTATATAGATGGACAACAGATTAAAACCCTCTTAGTCTTTTGAAGCAAGGTCTGCAAGTGTCCCACCTCGGACTTCTTTTTGCTTGCATGCGGTTTCCACAAAAAAAGAAAGAAAGTAAAAACCTCTCTTGGACAACTCCCCAGCACTTGTACCGCAGGTGGACAGACATGCACTACTGGTGATTGACATAGAAAGGGAATGGACTTTAGAGAGGTAAACTCTTCAGTGGAAAATCTATTATCCACGGATGTGAACGACATATCATTTTGTGAACGACTACAGTATATATATATACACAGTATATAGATATTGTTTATTTGTTAATTTCGATGGAAAAGCTATTCAAACCCTGCACCTATGACTTTGAGCGTCCGGCTGTAGTTTCACCAACTCCTGGTGTTGGGGGTGATTTCGTTCGTCCTTTTGTCAAAGCTCTTGGTCTCTCACATCAACATTGAGACTTGGGTTCTGCTGAGACGTTTGCCCTCGATTCGTCAACTGCTTGTCCAAGGAGCGCTGTGGAGGTGAATGTGGCATGTCCCAATGTTCCAGGAGGGGAATGACTTTAGTCGGACGTAGTTCAAGAGGTTGAGAATGTGATCAAAATGATTTCCCAGACACTGTGAAAGTGATCCTGGAAGTTTACAATTTCTCGATCTCGGCAGTTGATCCCGGTTGGAATTATCCCTACGAAATGGCAGCCATTTTGTTGGGAAAAAGTAACGTCAAGGCTCAGCAATTAGTAGTAAATTGTCCAAATTTAACGTGTCGCTTTTGTAAAAAAAACAAGTTGAAGAGCTCATGTTGTAAAGATTTTGGGCTATATGACTCAAGTCTGAAGAGCAGTTTGCAAAGATTTTTCTTAATAAGCCGTTTTGTAGAGATATTTGGGCTATCTGACTCAAGTCCAAAGAGCATTTTGTAAAGATTTTTCTTGAGGCATTGTGTATGGGCTATATATGACTCAAGTGTGCAGTAAAACACATTTTTTGGCTCTACAAAATGAGGCCTCGAAAAAGGTCTACAGAATGACCGACAAAGAATGCAAGACGTCTGATTTCACAAGGCTTCATTTTGTAGACTATTCAGATTCATTCGACACAAAGGGACCGGCTCTTTTTATAGACTCTTTTCGGAGGCCTCATTTTGTGGAGCCACTTCTTTTGTTTCGACCAAAGGACTATCTCAAGACTCAACACCCTAATTTTTAATGATTGAAGAGGAAGATATTGGGTAGACTGTGGGTGGATGCGACACCACTCCGGTGACAGTGCGGAGCTCAGTCAGGTTGTGAGTTTGATGCTGCAGGTAGTCTTCATAGGGTCCTTGACAGGAAAAGCAGATCCTCCATACCACCTCCATGGCACTCCTCTAGGTTGCAGAATCCGATAAGATCTCCCACGGGCTAGTGGCTATGAAAGCGAACCCCTGGTCCTTGCAGGAAAGCCATTGGTGGGATATGACTTCCCCCAGTTCGAGGCGGTGTTGAAAGAGATCAGCCACTTGGCTCATTGGACTGGGCCTTTCGGGTGGACGCATTTCTGTTCCTCCTTTTTGGCTGATGGTCTGCAAGCTAGCAACAAGAATGTTAACTCATGCACCCTTCGAATGGAAGACATCCACCACCCAGAAGATGCTCGTACCCCCGTCGTCGTAGGTATGTTTGTGAGGCCCATCGCAGATATCGCAGGCCGTCCACGGATGCGTCAAACTGGGCCTCTTTCGGTCTTTGTCCCACCACTCCCCACCCGAAAACAACAAAAAAAACAGCTCCAGTCGCTGCAAGTGCTGTTCTGGTGACCTGAAACAGGATCCGACAGATTCTTCACTTCTTTACCAGTCCTATGGGGTTTTCTGAACTCTTCACCTTTGCTCTTCACTCGGCAGTCGCTTCTCTCGGCTTCCACGACTTCACCTCGGCGACGCAGGCGCCCACCCAGTCTTCACCGCCAATCCCACGCTGGCGCTGGGCTTCAAGTTGCCACCGTACCTGGATGCTCCGCTCTTCGATGCGGTGGCGGGGATGCTGAATCCATTGGCCAAGAGCAAAGGCGTGGAATGGGAAGGTTGACGGCGTTTCGTTATTTTAGTGGGCCAGTACTGTGTAGCCTTTGCTTTTATTGTGGGTGACATTTCGATGACAGGTGACAGGTCCAGATGGTGTAGTTTGTTTGATGAACATGATAATAGTTCCACCTGGAACTAGTGGATTGGGGGGACTTGCAGGAGGGAGGGTTTGCTAAAGTTGAGTGGAGGGAGGGAGGTGCTCCAGGATATCATGTTCAGGTGGGATTTCAGAGTTTAGCAGCTTCTGGCAATCCCTTGAAGCCTTTCACCTGGATGCTTTTCCGACTTACAGGTGTTGGGGTCTTGCCTAATTTTTTGAGAAGCACCCAAGTGCGAATGGCAGAAGTTGATCCCTACACAAGAGGACCGTGTCCAAATGGGGAGACTTTTTCAATCAATTGATCGAGGAAGCTACTCGCTACGAAGGGAGCAAGGGGCAAGGACGCTACGAAGGGGGCTCCTGGCCTTACTACTATAGTAGCAAGAAGCTATGCTTCACCATTCCACTACTGGTGCCGCTGGGTCCGATGGTGCCAGTGGCGCCGGGGAGGGTCCGTAGTCCTGCTCCGTCGCAGGTGGAGTGCTGGGCTACGTCGTCTGTGGACGCCTCAGTTGGTGTCGTGGGTCGGTCGAGAAACTTTGCAGGAGCCAAAACAACAGTTCTGTCCTCACTGGGGGCATGAAAGGAGGCTTGAAATGCGAGTAGTAAGTAGGGGAGAAGATGAACTCATGTCTTTTTCTGGTTCTTGGCTTAAGTTGCTTCACGATGTGCCTGGAAAAACGAAAGGCGGATGAAGGCCGATACGCAAACTTTCGAGAGCAGTGCTGTCATCTACTCGGTGGCATTATGAAAGCCGGTTTGAAGATGCTGATTCTCAGCCAGTGGAGATTGTTTGACTGCGGCAACGTCATGCCCACTTGGGCTGCCGATGTCGGTAAGCAGACTTTGCAATCAAAAGCTGCAGCTACTGTTTTTGCTTTTTTTTTGAACGCCCGCTAGAAGCTCTTGATTGACTTGAGTGATTGGCCTTTTGGTTTCGGCGGTTAACATGTAACATTAATATACAATGGCGCCAATTTACTGCAAAAAGAGAGCGTTGGGAGAGTGATGAGAGTGACGATCGTAGGAGTTCAGGAGTCAGCAACGTGCAACAGGGAACCGAACGGTCCATGGTGATTCTTAGTTCCTTCACGGTTTGAAGATGACACCACTCTGCAGAGACGAGGTTGCAACACCTTGGGGAGTGCTTTGGCCGTGGATGTGGAGACTGAAACCACGGTCCTGCACCCCAAAGGAGGCCCTGGGCGCTGGAGAACGACGGAAACGCATGAGCACTCGGCTCGCATCACATGAAATTGCCGGTCGGTTGTTCATATCTCCTAAGCTATGCCCAGGTATCCAAGTTCTTTCTCTTCTTCGTAGGTCGGCATGCATAAGACTCATTAAGACTCGATGAGAGATGTACAATAGATGGGCTGTGCAAGGTTTTAGCCGGATTCTTAGACTTTGTTTAATGCCTATGTCAACTATGGTCTGAAGTGCTTAGAACAGAGACGCCAATTCCGATGCTTTGTCGGGAGTCTCATCGAGTCTCATCAACGGCAGTTGTGACTTAAGTGGCATCATCTCCAAGGCAAAACCATGAAAAACAATAACTGCGTTAGCCTCCTTATTTGAGGCCTCTGTGAGGAAATCTGAGGGTTGATGGAACTATTTCCATTTTGGCAAGAACTATTTCAACACCTGCATGATTTAAGCCAGAACTATTTCAACATCTGCAAGTTTTTAGCCAGAACTATTTTAACATTTGTAAGCCTTTGGCCAGAACTATTTCAACATCTACAAGGTTTTGAGCAGAACCATTTACTTGAGCGGTGCAAGTGCTTGCCTTGTTTTCCAAAAAGGTTTCATATAGTGGTATGTTGATCTGTTGTTTCTAGGTTCCTCCGTGTTGTTGAACTTCCCCTCTCTGTTTTCCAAATAGTTCCAAGCATTTCCTCTCTGCTTTCCAAATAGTTCCAAGCTTTTCCCCTCTGTCTTTCAACTAGTTCCAAGCTTTTCCTCCCTGTTTTCCATATAGTTCTAAGCTTCTCCTTGCTGCTTTGAATATAGTTCCTGGATATTCCTGGTGGACCTGCAATAGTTCTGCCTATGTGTGGGGTGCCTCACAGACAAAGAGGCTGAAGCAGGTACCTTGCTTGTGGCTTGAGTGGTTGGCGGAAAAGAAGCACGTGGCCCGTGGCCCCAATGTGGCCAGGCACCCCATTTCTTCATCCCCAAACAAGAATGGGTCTTGGGCCTTCTCAGCAGTGAAAAACATCTGAAGCAGGGGCTATGAACCACCGAACCGCTACTGTGCTCACTTCCCGGGCAGCGCCAGCATGCCAGCATGCCCTCAAATTCCCCCCCCGAAAACCGGCCGATGATCGCTGTGGCGAGGCTTCGGTGGCCTTGGAGGGCCAGTGGTGCGATATTTGGCCATGGGAAATGTGTCTCACTTCCGCTCTCGCTTGGATGAGAGCATTCACGTGGTGGGCTGTGGAGGACCTGAGGGCTGGCAAGAAAGATCAAGAAAGGATGATGAAAGACATTGAGACATTCTGAAAACATCTCAAACAACACTAGGATATTGTTGGGAAAACCCTCTCTTACCAAGCATTGAAGGACTTTTTTCTTCAACAATACGGCCTAGTGATAGTGATCTAGTAAGGGCCTAATGCTCGTTTTGCGGTTTTGTGATGGGAAGGGAAGGAAGAAGATGCAGAGTCGTAAGTTGCTTGCATGATTGCAAGCAGTCAATGAGTGGAACGCGAACAGCTCCATGCCACTGGTGGCTTTGATGAAGTTTCTCAGATACCGGAGCTACTGGTAGCTTGTGCTGCCTCTCCAATTGTCCACCAAAAGAAACCGCGAAAGCTCCACACTCCTCAGGCTGAAGCGAAGCAGCAACCTGCTTGGACCACGAGACCCCGCTGTCCTCACAGTCTCACCGGAACCACCGATCCTTTTTTCGAGGTTTGGTCATATAGACAGACTGTTGATGAACAAGACCCCTCCAGCCATGGATTGTAAACATCTTCACCGTGTTTCTTTTTATATACATATACAGCATTATACAGCAAATATCTAGAACTATTAAACTAGAATTATATCTAAGGGCTCCTGGCATTGCTACTAGGAGCAAGGACTTGTAGATATCTCCATGGCTTTCGTAGAGCCATCAAAGCTGCTGTGCTGGTGCGATCGATGGGTTGATTGCCCTCGCCGCGCTGGGCGTTCAGCTGTTCCGCCAAAGAGGATCGGTCCCAGGATGCCCCAAGTATCCAAGACCTGGAAACTTCTGCAAACACACAACATCAACCAACACTTCAAACATTTAACCTTTGGGAGAATCATCCCAAACTTCTCCAAAGAATAGAAATGAATGAACATGAAACAGCTTAATCCGAACTTGTTGGTTTCACTCGAGATGAAGACCTGCTGTGTGAGACCTTCTCCCGCCGACCTGCCGCATGCGACACTCGATGCAAGGAGTGTGCACTGGAGAAGACGCCTTCGCACACATCCTTTGTGGAGCCACTGCTGTGCAGGTGGAGCGATTGGAGGGCATGGCAGCACCAGTCAAGGGGCTGAGGAAATCGCCAGGCAGTACGATAGTGCCAAGGGTTTTTCTTTGCATTGATATATCTATCTCATCATCCCTTCGCCTGACCCAAGGACCTAGGGGTCAATGATGATTCAGTGAGGCACCACAAGAAGTGCCACCGAGTTCAGTTCCGTGTGCGCCACCTGCTCCCTGTGGTTCCGAACCCCGGTGCTCCACCAGGTGGCGACGCAGCACCGGGTGGAGGGCCCCACCTGCTTCTACCGCATCGCCGAGGAGTTGAAAGACCTCATGCGGCGGCCAGCTGGCGGCAAGCTGGTTGGGGCAAGTGGTGGAATGCCCAAGATCCGGAAAGCCGGCTAAAACCCTCTGGGTCCGGCCGCTGAGCAATTTTACATCGCCTCAGGTTCTTTCTTGACCTGATCCTTAGTAACAGCCGGTCAGCTGCGGGGTGAAGTGACTGTTGGAAGAAGGATCCTTTTGATCCTTTGGCTGTTGCATTGACTGGGGTATTGTTCTCCAAAAAGGAGGACACACAAGAAATTTGGAAGTAGTGGTCCCCAAGCTCGAGACAGACCCTTTTATGACCCGAAATCAGTGATTTGCCTCGCGTTCCGACAGATGTGGTTCTTGGATCTCGATTCTCCCAGGAAAGGCTACAAACGCCTGGAGGACTTCCGCGGAAAACTCAAGGTCCGAGGCAAAGACTCGAAGCTCTGAGTTTCTGAAGAAAACGGAGCATGAAGATTGGGTGAGAGAGAGTTCCAAATGTCTGGAGAAGTTGCAGGGTCAGAAATCCAACTCATGATTGTTATTTTTTTATTGTTTATTTTTTCAGTGGTGTCCCAGAATAGAATGAGGTTGTACATGAGACTATGAAAGCTGGTTGGATCTCTGTCTCTTTCTCTCTGTTGGGAGCGTTTCGATTTGGTCTTCTTGTGGGGACACTGGAAGATCCCAGTGACAGGGCGATACGCATGGACCGCGACCATGCGCAAGTTTTGTACGCTGGGACATTGCTGTGGGGCCAGGCAATGACAACAGCAACTCCTCTGGCAGATGACTCTCCACCACAAGCTCTTACTGGAAGTATCTGTCATTGAGTGCAAGATAGTGACAGTGGTTTCCCGGAGACCGGGTACCTTGACCGTCTTGAATCTTGAAGAATCTGCAAGACTACGTATTGTGGATTTGTGAACGCTGCAACAAATCAATGAGACCACCTTTCTTATGCTAATCAAATATGTCCAAGAGGGCAGAGCTCTGAAGTCTTAGAACACTACAACACTACATTTGAATTATATATCTATATATAGTTATTCCGCTCGGACACTCTAGACAGCACGACCAGTCCACGTACTGATCCTCTCCCAACAAGCCTTCCTCAAGGCTTTTGCAGGCTGCACTGGTCAAACATAAGTCACAGGTGGGGTGTGGAGCCAAGCCAGAGCGAAAGAGGGCCTGCAGGCCCGGCGAGGGCCCCATGTGCTTCTCGCAGAAAAGGTGCACGCATTTGTTTGAGATGTTCAAGTGAGACTGATGGTTGAGCCCTTATACAGTAGATTACTCTTGAATACACTACCACTACCACTACCACTTCTACTACTACTACTACTACGACTACGACTACGACTACTAATACTACTACTACTACTACTACTACTACTACTACTACTACTACTACTA